TATTTATTTATTTATTTATTTATTTATTTATTTATATATATTTGTCTACGAGAGTCAGTCACGTGGTCTTGTGTCTACGGCGCACTAGTCATCGTGGTCTCTAGTTTCCCCAGCTTTTAGTTATAAAGGTAAATCATTTTTAATTTTGAGCTTGGTCTTGAGTTCTGCATCTTATCATTTCTTTTACGTGTCGAAAATCTAGCTTCGTAATTAAGTACAAATAACGAACCCGTTTGCAATTGTTGTTTCACTTTCAGGTACTCATGCAAGTCGACAAATCGAGACAACGGGAGTAAAGTTCCTCGCGAAAGCTAGCACAGACTTGGCATGTGTCCAGTGCAGGTTCTACAGGAGCCGTTGTACTTTTGAAAGCCAATATTCATTGCTTTGAACCGTCAGAAGTTTAAAATGTCTCCATCGATCGGTGACCACAAATTCAAAGACAGTACCGCTTGAGTTTGAAAACAACATAAATCTACTGCGGAATTTACTGCGGAACCACTCGCCTGCGGCTCGTGGTTCCACAGCCACTTTGACAATGTTATGACGCAATTTATCGTCAATAAGAGGACAGACGTGTAAAAAACTGACGTCAATTTGTTAAATCGCACCGAACACAGTTTATTTTCGACAAGCCATGTTCTTACGTGAACTTGACACTGCTCTTGGAAATCATGCATTGCGCGCGCAGCCTATGGATTATTCACTAATTTGCTACCAGATTAGTGAACAATCTGTAGGTTGCGCTGTTTCCCAGAATTAACTGTAGGCTTTAGCCAATGAGAAGACAGATGGTGACTACAATGTATAATAGAAACGATTATTGCACTCACACTTGTTGGATGTGAAATGATTATAGTCAACTCAATGCTACCTGCCTCGTTGGCTATCCATCGAATCATATCCCACCTGCACTCGTGGAATAACCGTTAATTATTTGCGGACTTAATAAAAAGATTTAGGCTTTGTTGGGAATCCACTCAATCTAGAGCTATTGTGGTTATCCTTTGATATGGTGTGAGCTTCTACTTTGTGTTATAAATGAAGCTAAAATGAAAAAACCCTTAAGAAAAATTCATATTTCTTGCTTTTTTTTTGTAAGTTTTGTTTGGGATATATTTATCAAGGCCTATTAATCGTTTTAGTTATAAGTTGAAGCAATAAGTTTCAATTATACTCGCAAATTAGCAAATACATTTACAATACAGCAGCATTTCATATCGTAACTACTAGTACGATAAAACTTAATAATTGGAAGCCCCACACGAGCACACTTTGTGATTCTCTGTAATAGCACCCTATTCTCTAAAATATCTCTTAATTTCACCTTCTACTATCGATCACTGACTGACCTTTCGAGTTGAAAATCTTAGTAGAGTCTTTCATTTTTTTTGTCATGATAATTCAGTTTTATCCTAATCAAAAGTATAACTTGTAAGCCACACATGTACGCACTGCGAACCAATTTTTGAAGTGATGTGAAAGAGGAGAAAAGGGACTCCTGATGTCAAGTTCCCTCAAGGTCACTTGCTAAAGGGGATTTCCCTTCGATTCCAAAGATAAGAAGATTTAATCTGATGCCCGTACATGCCAGCGTATAAAGACTATAATACGGTCACAATTATTAGTCTTGAGTAAAGATCTTCTTAACTTGATTTGCACACTTTTGAAACAATAGAAAGGTAATCATTTTGTTCAAATATTGTTTATGTAAAACGTTTCATTGCCATTTCTTAAATTGAAATATTGTGGTCCGCCAAAGTCACATGGTCTTCAATGACTGTGTTTGACAACTTGGCTTACAGTCATCTGCACGCGAGTAATTTAGGCTGAACCTGCTTGACGTTGATAACCTGCTTGACAAGCATCAATTGTTTCTGACGTGCCGAACATCATACTTAAAAGGTAATTTCTTTTAGTTGCATATACACTGCTTGTTTCTGATAGGTACGTATATACTGCTTGTTTCTTGTTTCAAGAAGAATATTGAATTAACGGGCTGTGAAAAATAAAAAAAAAGAAAACTTCACTGTAACAGGAGTCATTGTGAAATTTACCGCAAGTTCTGGTATGTTTTGATAAGGTATTTTCGTCTCATTGTATTCTTTACTCAGGGTCAATTGCTTCAGTTTATGTGGCGAAACTTTAAATCCTAGCCTATATATAGTGATTCTTCTCTGCAACTGTCATTTGTGTAACCTCCAAGCAGCCGCACGAATTGGTCCGAGGACTCCGTGAGAAACAACTTGAGTGAGAGGCGAGAGCGCAGTTACTAAGCCACCTCCTTCCTCACCTCCCTTCGTTCATAAACTCGCTTGTCTGCCAACGAAAAAAGCCAGAAAGAAACGCTTGGGTGCGAAATCCAAACAGTCAGTGAATGCTATTTTAGAGAGAGGCTAAATAATAGGTAATTATTATATTACGTGAGCGATGTATATATGACTCAGCTTCCCTCTTCCTTTTCATAGATCGTCTCGCCGGTCAGCCTGGTCAATTCTAGGATTGAGCGCCTTCTCGTCGTTTAGCGGGATTCAAAGGTCAGTTTTCTCTGGCGGACCGTCCATTCTCGCTGTTTTTCTATTAATTTACTTGTATGTATTTTTTAAATTGTTTTGTTGTCATCTCTCTGCTTGCGATGGTGGCTTGGTAAGTTAGTCGGGACATGAAGTTTCTTACAAAGATAGTTCTTAGTTATTTTCCAGAATTTAAGTGGATTTATACAGAAGGAACATTTGTTATGTGTTTTGCTTACATAAGTATCGAACATGTTTTTGTACATTTGGCCATGTCGAATTCTGGTTTTGATTTCGATTGATACTGAGTATTTTGCGATTTCTTTGAGGAATAGGCAAGTATTCAAAGAATGCATTTCGTTTCAAGTTCTCTTTTCATTTCCTGTACTGTTGATGTAACAAATGCAAATGCATGAGTTATCGCACGCTCCGTATTATGTTTAGCCTGCAGTATGGTCGCGTGACGGTGCGGCGTTCTCTTTGACATAGTAGTTGAGCCAATAGACTCCTTGAACAACAGTCGCCCATAGTCAACCACTACTTCCCGTTGCAAATTGAGGCTTTCACAAGGTAGGATTTACTCTCTAAAAATAACTTCCTATTGCTTCGGCAATTTTCTCGAAAAGAAAAAGTCAAGCCCTTTAGAATAATTTGCTGTGAGAAGATGTTATCGAGTAAGCCACTCATTTACTCGTAATCGCACCCCAGATACGGTAGAAGATATCCATGTCTTCATCGATCAGCGTTTTTCCCATAATGATCTTCAGCCTTTTGCGGCCTTTTGCCCTTTTCTGCGGGCCAATATGCCACTTTCAATGCCTCGGTTAAAATCAGTCATTTTCATTTTCCGCTATTATCGGTTCCCCGAACAGGGAACTTTCAGTGTCGCCAGGAAATTTAGATGTTATAACCCACGGGCCGCTTAATTCAGTATAGTATCCGACATTCTTGTAGCCTGCGAACAGGCTTCCGGCGAGGACGGAAAAAATTTTGGCGAGCGCGAAACAGAGGAATTCGGAGTGCGAAGCGATGGGTAGGAGAGGTTACCTTGTGTATTAAAATCATGGTTCAACAAATAAATATATTTTAAACTGCAAAGCTTACGTTAAGGAAAATCTGAAACCCGATCACTCCGAAACCTTTATATGCGTGCATTGTTTTTGACCTTCATAACGAGCCAGACCTTGCCCAGCCTCGCAGTTGGACGCCCAGTAGGCCTGCAACATTCCATTGTAATCCATCCTAATTTTTTTTAGCAGGCGCGGGAATTCGAGACTTTTTTGTGAAGACTGCCAAATTGGGCGCCCCTCTAGGTTTTTTTAGGGCCTTTGGGCCTCGTTTTTGTGTCCATCTGCCACGTCATGCTTGGCTTTCGACGTTTTGGGGTCCTCTTTGAACTGGTTTTGCACTCTGATTGCATTCGACCAAAAAAAGGAGTGCACTCCCAATGCAGACTGGAGTGATATTTTTTGGCTGGGCGAAAACAAATTACATCATCGCAAAGCACGTGTATAGGAGATGATTTGCTTTTTGATCGTTTGCGATCGCTCGTTTCTAGAAGGTTTGATTCTGGACCGAGCTGCGAGATGACGTGCTTTTGTTTATACATAGCTGGGACAATATGATTTATTCTGTTCACGAACACGACTTTGAATCGCTTTGGCTTTTGAATGTTAACCGTGGGAACAGCCATATTTCATAAGACGTTGGCTATATTTTGATTACATTTGTTGAATTTATTATTCCCAGTGGCCACAAATAGTTCAGTCTGTATCCAGCGAAGGTCAAAATTGAATCAATGGAAGAGTGCTCTAAAGCCAAGCCCAAAAGCAGTAAGCCAGAACTAGAGAACAGCAAATGTAAATGCAACCTCGTTCCGAAGGTCTCTCATCTTACCGCCCCCTGGAGCGAGCGAGAAGAGAAATGGCCGAGATTCTCATCTAGGACAAATTGAAAACGATTTCAAAGATCCTGAAGATGGATTTTTGGACAAAAACAACTCAGAAAGCATCGTAAGAAATACTAGACGTTCGAGGTCAGTGTGGTTCAATTGCAACTAAATAGCTAAATGCCCTTCCGATCGCCAGTTTTACCTTTGGCATCTCGTTTATTCGAATCGCTTATTTGTATTGAGCAATCCTACGTGGCGTAGAGCTCATGCGTGGGCTGGGTGACTTTGCAGGGATCCAAATGTAAATGTAAATGTTTTGCAACGTTTTCGTTGAGTTAAAAAAGCTTGACTCTAATTTGCATATATGGTGACTGTAACGTGATACTTCTGTTTACGTCTGCGAAAAAAAACTCGACTTCCGTTCTGCTTTCGAGATACGTTTGCTCGTATATCAAGACAAATGGTTTGTTTCAGCGTCAAATTGGAACAGCAGAGTAGTTTGACTTAATTTTTTGTTTCGCTATAATTTTTAACCTTTTTTCCCTATGAAGTCCTACTAAGTGAAATTCTGGTAAAAGAAATGTTAGCTTCCATGAAGGCAACCTATTTTTTTTTCCGTAGAAAGTACTTTTTGCGTCCTTTCTAACAAGTCAATATATGGTAAACTGCTCTGCTGTAAATGCTTCGTGAGAGTATTATGCAAAGAATATCATGTGATAGAATGAGTTAAACAGAATGTGTTGGTTTAGTTAACTTAGCTGATTATTTGGATCATATTCATGGTAAGATGCCTAAGTTACTGGAACAGTATGAGTGATATAGTTAACAAAAAAAAAAAATTTAATTCATACAAAATGTTCAATATTATTGTTTTCAATCAGCAGAAATAAAAGAAAGCGGGGGCAGACTTAGTGATAACTATTGCTAATTCTAAAAATAGCTCAAGGTTGAAAACGTCGTAGCACCGGCCCTCCCCACCCGGCCCATAGTAGACGAAGGCTCCATGTGATATGCTCCTGATATATTTACCGTAAATCTTCGAATTAGCGTCCCCGCCCCCCTCGAATAAGCGCCTCCTTCGAATAAGCGCCCTCCTATCGGCCAAAATTGAAAATAAGCGCCCCTCCCCTCCGCCATTTTGCGGACGAGTAATGAGACAACAAAGGAGGTATAGTTTTCGTCGTGTAGTATTCAGTAGATTTGTGCATTGTTTCAGTTTGTGAAATCACAAATACTAACGGTGCCGCGATTTAAAGTTTAGGATCAGCTTTTTATGTCGGTAAACAGCTTATGTTGTTGTTTACGCGCAGATGATGTATTAAAAAAATGATCGTGTCAGGACACGATTTGGAAGCAATTAAATAAGCGCCCCCCCCCGATTAAGCGCCTCCTCGTATAAGCGCCCCCGTCTTCTCCTAAATTTGAAATAAGTGTCCCTGGCGCTAATTCGAGGATTTACGGTGTGCATATATAATAAGAGTTTGTATGCGAATATATAACGAAACGTTTTCAAAAGCCAGAAAAACGGAAAAGAAATACGGTAAAGACGCTTGCCGCCAATTCGGTGGTGTAATACACAGGGGATGGGAGAGAAGGAGTTTTATTGCGTTTCTACTTCTGTTTTTCTTGCTGCTGAAAACGTTCGTTTCCTGTTTTGGTCTTGTTTGTTTGCCAGAAACATTAGGCAATACAGTATAACACGTCATATTTGAAATACTTGTGGTAATTTTTGATCAGTCATGCTCGATAGCCTTGTCATTTACATCCGGATGTTAATAACCTTTGACAGGAAGGAAAAAAGTTATGTCAGTCTACGTTTCGACGCATCAATCATTATTCTCAAGATTGACGTCAATGTCAAAGTTGTTCTTGAGTTTGAACAGGAGCCCATAAGCATTCCAGTATGCGTGAAGTACGTTACTGCGCCTTTCAATAACATGCGGACTCTAAAGTTCAAAGCTCAACCGACAAATGCGTTTTTCGCTACCGTCAACCAAATATTCGGGGGCTCCTCCAAGCTTCCGACTACTGCCGAGTACTGTTTCGTTTTCTGAACTTTGCTCGACGATTTGATTACCGCGCGCTTGGCAGTAGTCGGAATTGAGTTGGGAGGAGCGGCCGAACACTTGATTGACGGTAGCGAAAAACGCATTTGTCGGTTGAGCTTTGAATTTAAGAGTCCGCGTGTCATTGAAAGGCGCAGTAAGACCTGTAAATGCACTAATCATCAGAGAATAACTTCGAAACCCATCATCCCATCTATTAAAAACCTTGTCAGTAGAGAATGCAGTGCACAAACCTCATAGTACTTCCGTACGTGTGTACATGGACAGGATAAAAAGAGAACACACATGCTGCGGTTTCCGTTCATCCGTTCCTGTCACATCTTAACCAATCGGATAGCAGCCTTTAGGTATGATTGACAGAAAACAGGAAGGAAGGACGACGTGTATATATGACTCAGGTTCCCTCTTCCTTTTCATAGATCGTCTCGCCGATCAACCTGGTCAACTTTAGGATTTAACGCCTTCCCGTCGTTTAGCGGGATTTAAAGGTAAGTTTTCTCTGGCGGACCGTCCATCTTCGCTGTTTTTCTATCAATTCACGTGTATAAATTCTTTTAGAAAATTGTTTGGTTGTCATCGCTCTGCTTGCGATGGTGGCTCGGTAAGTTAGTCGGGGACAGGAAGTTTCTTACAAAGATGGTTTTTGTTATTTTTCCGCATTTAAGTGAGTGTATACGGAAGGAGCATTTGTTGTGTGTTCTGCTTGCATAAGTATCGAAAATGTCTTCGTACATTTGGCCACGGCGCACGCTCTCATCTCAAAGCTTAAAATTTAGAATTGGATCGCAGAGTTTGAAAAGAACAAATACACGACCCAAATTCATAAAAGTGATGCAAAATATATTTAATTAATGCAACAGTCACGTGATATGGCTGTCGTCATCAAAAGCCATTTGAATGTTACATTCTTTTGACAAGTCGACTACGAAGAAACATTGGCCTGCAATGCAGGCTTCCTTTATTGCTCTTGTTTTTTTGTTTTTTTTTTTTGTAAACTAACTGCTTTAAAAATTGTATATTTTGTCGGTGTTACTGATATCGATTAATTTCAGCGCTCGAGGGCTTATTACGTTACGGCGAAAATGTAATAGTATATTATCAGACTGGTTGATCCACACAACTCGACAGGACGGGGCTTATCATATCTGCCTGGGGTGAAACTCTGACCTAAGCTACAGGTTCCTGTTACGTTTTGCAGTTTTACAGTCGAAGTGACCATCGATACATCATACCACGACAAACTTCACCGGCAAATTTTCCGTCACGTTTCCGTTTTACCTGGCTGGAAAATATAGAAATAACGTGACTATATAGATTTCGAGTTCATCAGTTGAAACACTGTTACCTTGGCAAAAGTTGCGTTATTTTAACTGGTGTTATATTCGTGGGTCCAAGTTAAACAAAAGAGTATATTTATAGCAGAGGTCATGCTGAAGAATACAAAATTACTGAGCTAAACTCCCCACGCTACAGTCAGTCAAATCTCATTTTCAAGGAAGAATTTTGTCTGTAGAAGAAATTGGTCCGTTGCTACCTCCACTTTATATTATTTCGGAAGCTTCATGAGTGTTTATACTCTTTCTTTCTCATAAGAATATTGTTTTTCCGGCCAAAGCTGAATATTCTTACTTTTCTGCTACTTTAGGCTGAAAATGTCTCTGTGAATATTCTTAGCTTATTTCTCGCATGAAACTTCTGTTTTGGAATGCATCTGGTGTCTGGATGGAGTCGAAGTAATTTTGCAGCCAGCCTGCAGGCATAATACTGAGCCTGACCTAACGCACATAACGTCTTGCAGAAAATGGTACTTGCATCGAACTTACGGCTAGTGCTGTTTTTGTTGCTTTTTGGCTAGTTTTACAGTTTAAAGACGGAAGGGACAAATTTTATACCGTCTAGTTAAAAACATATAATTGTATTGTATTTACAAATTTTTAACACACAAAATTATATTCTTTTGAAAATCTTAACCTCGGATATATTCGTCAAATATTCTTAAAATTTTGCAAATTTAAGCCTCGATACTCTGTATAAAAAAGAAAAACTGTAGACTTAGAGAAACGTCGCGGCGCACAATTTGACTACGTCTGTCATTAATTAAAGAGCAAACATTTATTTTGGTTTTTGAACGTCTTCAATATACTTATACTCATGCTAAGAAGTAAGACAAGTACCAAAGAATTTTAACATAAATTAAAATGAACCGTAGCATTCGAGTACACCAACTGATATTTTTGTTTATTTCAGTTCTGTCACGGTACCATATAACACGTGATCATGCCGAACACGGGAATTCCGGTGGTATTGGTCTGTTTATTAATGACATTTACTAGTAAGGAATATTTCTCCTCTTATAAAATATATAAGTTCAGTGTAAGTGAGTTTCAGGGAGTTCCTGTATTCTTTATTAATACCGATCACAAAATTTTGTGACAGTGAAAAAACGATAATTAATTAAGCAACAAATCTCTAGAGGGAAATCAAACAAAGGATTGGAAAGCACGGATGGATTTTATTATTTTAATTAAACTTCCCTCTTTTGAAACTTGTTCTATTTATGCTATGGACGAAAACACAGTCGAACCTCTCCACAACTGCCACTTTGGGAACAGAGGAAAGTGGCCGTTTTGGGGAGGTATGGGTGTTTTTCTCGGGGTTCCGTTTCTTTTCTTTTTTTCTTTTTTTTTTTTTAACAGCTTATTTTAGCATGTTTTTAAGTCTAAAAGTATCCCTAAAACAGAAACTGACCAGAACCGAGAGACCAAACACACGCGTTATGGGTCAAGTTTGGTGACCTTTTACAATGAAAAATACGTTTTGTATAAACCGTTCGTCAGTCGTCTGTAACTGGCCGTTGTCGAGAGGTTTTTTCGCCAATTGAGACGAGTTTAGGTGCCCGTTGCCATTGTAAAGACATGGCTGTTAGTGGAGGTTCGACTGTATACTTCACTGATAATGCAAATGGAATGCGCATAGAACTTTTACAGAAGTAACGTTTTCTTTGATGAAAACCGTTATAGAAAGATAATTTAAAACAAGATTAAGATTGGATTGAGACTATGATAAAGCAGGTAATCTTAGCTTGTCCGTAAATATGCACAGTATATATCTAAGTGCACTCATCATTTTATCTGCAGTTTACAAGCGTAAGTCATTTTTCGTGTGCGTTATCGATCATAGATATAATCCTCGACGTTTCATGTTGCTATAGATGTTGGCGCCCAGACTGTGGCTTCATGTAATGCTGAGAGCATCACGATCAAGGATCCAATGAGCGGATCAGTCCAATGCCAGGACTGCTTAAAATGTCCTGCTGGTGAGGGGCTCTCTGTGAGCTGTGGAGATGAAATATCTTCAAGCACCCCTATCGTTTGTAAACCATGCGTACTTGGTGAAACATACTCCTCAGCATACGAAGCGGGGGCCTGCAAAGATTGCAAGAACTGCGGACCGAATCGCGAGACCATCAAAGCCTGCACATTGACGTCCAAGGCCAAGTGCGGAAAATGTAAAGTTGGGGCTTACGTTGAGCCCATGCTGAGCATGTGCAAGCCGTGTTCCCAGTGCTGTAATGACGGCAAGGACATAGTCATCTCTCAGTGCCAAGTACCCAGAGTACCCGCAAATAAGCAGTGCAGTTTTGCACGATCAGGCAAGTGCAGCAAAGTGGTGACTACTGCGAGTGTCAGCAGAGTGTCCCCAACTATGGAGAAAAATCAATCAACAGTACAGTCGACAATTTCCTTCACGGTAACAACGGTAACCTCAGTCTCTAGTGAACCAACCACCGCGCCGCCTTTTGATGCATCACCATCGTGGGTTAACGTCATTGTTGGTTCTGTTTTTGGGGGCGTAGTTGTTGTCTTCATCCTTCCGTTAGCGTTCATTATTCGTTATCTTATGGTCAAGCGCAGGAAAACCCGTAGGCAGGTAAGCGATTTGGCTCTTGCCGAGACCGCGCCCGGCGAAAGGTCCGAGGAAGTGCAGAATAATTATCAACAGGCCAACGCTGGCGATGGCAATGAAACAGATCACCCAAACTCACCTGCAGATGACCCGGAAGAGTCCACAGTGCCTGTTCAGGAAAGTGGTGACATCAGTAAAGACAAAACAGGGATTCAGGAAACCAAGCTCCCAGGTCGCCATGGTGACACAGGTAAATCAAGATTGAAGCGTTCGCCGACTGCGTGACTAAACCTGTGTTCACATTAAAGTCGAAACATGATTAGCTAGAGTAAACATGTTTCGCCTAAACATGTTTGTTATTGCATTGTTCACATCAGATGTCGGTTTCAAACACGTTTCATGCATGGTTGTATAATTTATGCGGTTTCATGGTAGTCGCATTTGTCATTACGTTTTGCGGCAATGTTCTCCCAAATATTCTGCAATGAATTCCCAATTTTGGTTCTTTTGGGCCCTCGCCTCCTCGCCGCATCCATCCGCCATTTTGAACGTGTTTGGTCTGATCATGATTGAAACTACCTCGCGAGGTTGTTTCAATCATGCTCAGAATAATCATGTTTCAACCATGATTCGCGCAATGCACTGACTGATGTGAAAACTTTTCATAACGAAACATGTTTCATTCGTGATCAGACTAATCATGCTTCGGTCTAGTGTGATCACTGCTTAAGACAGCATCCCTAAACCGCCAACAGGAATTCACTGCGACGGAGTTATATAGAGAGATGGAATGTTCCGACCCCGAGTTGTTCTGTTAAATTTAATATAACGTTAAACATTTATTTTCTTATTCGTGCACGATTGATGCAGAAAAATCGTCTTGCAACTCATTCTGTTCTTTTCGTTTCAGATTTGAAGCTTTCCAGCACTGTTCCAGAGCACGCTGAACCAACCTCTGAACTCCACAGTCAAACCAAGGAACTTGAAAGAAACACGACTGTGCATGTAACTGTACATGTACATTCCAGTGGTTTTTAACAGCAGTTTAAATAAAAATTCCATGCTACACATTTTTTAAGCACACTTCTTGTAACCTAAGTATAGCTTTTGTTACGCTCTCTAGCTAATAGGCCCAAGTTATGTCTTTGTTGGAAACCTTTTAGCTATTAAAACTGTGTTTATAAATATTTCCACAGTACTTCTCAGTAGCAGAACGATAATACCTAGAGGTTCAGGGATCACCCTAATCTCAGATTGGTACTTGTAAAGGGATTACGAGTTGTCCCATTTTTATACCTACTCGTACCTTTTTGGTACGCTTCGGAGGCATTTTGGGCGAGTTTGGTCGAGCCATGGTTCATATTTTGGCGAGACGTTGTCGAGCTAAAATACCCTTAGCGTGCGAGACCAAACAAGCCTGATATGCCACCGAAGCTTACCAAAAAGATACGAGAAGGAGGGAAGGAGGGTTGGAAAGGTCGGTGATGCTCATGATCATCTCGCTTAGGGGACGGTATAAATCAAGGATTCTGGTCTCACTTAGGGTGTCCAGAAGGTAACGCCACTATATCAGGCTCCTGACTATATTTAGCTGTCGAAGTATTTTAGGGTGCACTCGCGGAAGTAACTTGAAGAGGAAAATGCTCGTATTTTGGTTTTTATGCTCGATTTCCGCCGGTCTCTCGTGTCCAGTCTGCTAGCGCGGGCTCCTTTCCTGAACAGAGGCTTCTAATTAAGCCTATTCCGTTTTAAAAGGTATCTTTTAGAAGTCAGATAAAGCTGGGGCTACATAGCAGATTGGTCTCTTAAAGGGTTTCATTTAATTTCCAGACGAGCATCCCCGACCTTTTCATATAGAGAGTTCCCTCCCCGTGCCTCTGTTTGACAGTGTTACTAGATTAAAAGCCTACTTATTGGAGAGATGCACAGAGCAACTCCGGCCAGCAGCAGATTGTAACTTTACTTTTGGTTACATCGGTGAAGGAAATAAGAAGTTTTCCATCACTTCGGAAGTTCAACTTGCCGAGGCGCTGTCCTTAGTGAAAAAGGGGATGATTATTTGTGGGTCGATCCACACTTACCTAAAAAGATTTCATTTTGTCCCAATTTTACACTGTAAAGTTTGTAAGAATTATGTTCATCAATATTTTCTCAAATTATTTTTATAACGCCATGTGGATATACATGTAACTCACTCAAAACTCACGGACTCCACGTGCATACACGTATGTAAATTTTATGCCGCTTTTACAGCTTTTACCGAGTAGAAAAGTAAAAAATCTTCTATTCAAGCAGTAGTGAAGAAAATCATTATGTTTGAGCCCCAGCGCTAGCTGTTAACCGTGTTTCATGGTAAAATTCTACTTTTTGTGTCGGTACCATTAAGTCAGGTAGCTGCGTTCATAGTTATTAGGGAGCTAAGCAACGACAACAGCGACGGCAGCGAATTTCTGCCAATGTCTTTTCGGGGTATTAGAACACTGCTTCCATAATCAAAAATTCCACGTGCGGGTGCATGACCACACTGTTTATCGGTCTCCCGATGGTATTTGCTTTACTTCTCCAAAATTTAAAACTTCTGAGACATATCTTTCGATTGTTCTTGGTGACATCCTCAAAACAGCTGCTACCCCATCTACTTCGTGATATCCTGAAATTTCTTTCATCCAAATGGCTCGCCATCGTAGATCTTCACCGTACGGGCGAGGCATAGCTGATTTTGATGAATTTATTCAGAAAAAAATCCTACATAACCTTACGGTCTTGTCTTGTAGCTTTATGCTCTGATCTGACAACGTTAATTGAAATAGCTGTATTATTGTTGCTATTATCCAGACCAAATGTAAAATATGCAGTGTAAATAAAACTACTAACAAAACTTCTCACAACTGGCTTTCAAAAGAAATGTATGGAAAGCTGTAGGGAGAATTTATATTATGAGCACTAGACAGCGAGGAGCCTAATAAATACTGCTTTTATTACTACTGAGAGATTAAAAACTTTAATATAGCTGCGGGAGGAAAAGGTACCTCTATCGCTTGTTTATGTACACTAATTAGTGGTTTGCATAAATGTCATAGGACCACGTCAAATTTGGAAATAATTGTAGCACGCCGAGTCCAATTTGGCAGTCAAGAGACTTTTTTAGATAAGTCTGGGGCGCTTTGTATTTTTTTACCCTCTCGGAGAAATGTTTCTTCGAAGTTCAACGGCCCTCAAATCTAGCGCACCCGAGATCGGTTACGGAACCCTCCGACTTCCTTTTCCTTTCTACTTTTTCTTTCTTTACAAGGTAGAGTAGCTCAATTTAGAAGAAGTAAATCCATCACAGCAATACACTCATTTGGTGTTATCAACGAGGCTTCCCACGTAGGGGCCAAACCACCCCCCAAATGTTTCGTCAGTTCTTGGGTATTTC